TTATGGTTGTTGTATTTCTACTTCCTGCTAAGTCAGGTGGGCAATATTTCCATTGAAGGGTAAAAGAGTAAACATTCGAAGCTATTTAATTAGGGTAAAAGAGTAAACATACAAAGCTATTTAATTAGGGTAAAAAACTGTTTGTTAGTCTTAGTATTTTGCTTTCTAAAAGACAAACTCCAAATCTTTTATGTTCTTTCAATGAAGATAAAGTTGTAGATATCACCTATCAAGATGGCCTCAAAATCTTTCGGACTGAACCACAATTTCCACCATTGCACCATATCTTTGTGACTTTCAAGAATTGGTAGTTCATAAAAGAACATATACAACGATTGACATCATCAACAAAAATCACCCTGTATGAGGTCAGACTGATATTGCATGGCTTAGTCACAATCATTCTCGAGATACAAATAGTGGGTAGATACTCAATCGAATACTATTGCACGGTTCAGAGCCAGTAAATATATTTTGCATCAATATATAACCCGTGTGAATCTCAAACATATCCATGAGAAATATGTAGCTAATACAAATAGCTAACACTTCACTATCTTGAACAAAAAAGTTACCACTCATTTAGGGCCATCAGAAACATGATCAGGCTGAATCTCCTCAGGAGCAGATGCTTTTCGATTTATTCTTCCCAATTGGATTCCAACAGTTGAGCTACTGTGGGAACTTGCAGGGGTGGCATCCTCGCTGGCTGCTTTTAACCCTTTCTTTCTCTTCACTTTCTGAACCCAATCAACAAGTCCTGCCTGCACATGCTCATCGAATATGGCCTTCTTAAAGAAAGTTCCCATCTGCATCCATTTCAGATAAATGCATAAGAATTACACAATTTACAGAAAGAGAAGTAGAGTTCACATTTACCAGGTACTCTACCCTACCTGTGTGACAATAGCATAAAGTGGCAGCGTGCTGTAACTGCAAAGTATCTGAATGAAGGCCCTAATTGAAAAATAAGATGAAAAAGAGTTGGCCATGTAAAGAAAGTAATTTTAAAGAAAAAAAAATCTGGATATCCCAGCAAGAATCTTGTATACAAGATCTGACAACGTGTATAGTTGTCTCATACCCGATGATAAGCCTTGGAACAATATAACGAACTTGTCCCATTATGCACGAGTCAAACCCATATTGGACCTATAGATGTTTAGAAATGTTACCTCCATTGTGATAATCACATCTTAATTTACTCTCTTATCCATGCAATATGAATGCTTGAAAAATCAGCTTACCCATATCCAGAAGAAAAATGCAATTTCAAACGCATTTTGGAAGAGGATAAAATGGATCAAGAAGAGGACAATACGGGGCCGGTTGAACCAAAAATGATCATCTGAAGGCTGAACAATCAACTCCCCTTCTATGGCCACATGTTTCTCAGCAACTTCATGAGCCAACTGGATAATTACATGCTCAAGCTTGGTCCCCACAGCAAGAAGCAGCTGAGCAAAACTACATATGTTAGATAAAGTAACATATTATCAGAAAAGAAAAG